GGTGGGGCGGGGGAGGGGGGGGGGGGGGAGGCACATGCCCCCCTGACTAAGGTGGCACCAGTCACCCAGGTTTTGCAGGTTAGTCTAACCTGCTTAGGTTGAACCAGTTTGCAACTGCACAGACATTCTCTCTGGACTGAGGAGATGCAGGAGCACATGTCTCCAGTGGCTTGAGCTAGAAATCGAGAGGTGCTATAGCATCCCTCCCTTCCCTTTTTCAGTGCTGAGCTGAGAGGGGCGTGGCCAGGCCCTGGCAGGACACACTGATTAGGAAGGGGTGTAAGCTCCCACCCTGCCTGCACCATCCCAGGCTTTTCCCCGCTTACTACTCAAGGGGCAGGAGTGTTGCCAGCCCCCAGCCCCTGACTAGCACTCTGAGGCAAAGGGTGTGTGAAGTGCATGCATCTATTGATAATACTGAGCTTTTCAATCTCCCTCTCCCTGCTTCTTCATACCATCTGCAAACCTGACAGTTGAGAGAGATGGCAGGGGGCTGATAACACTGTGTTATCAGCCCATCCACAAAACAAAAGCCTCTCATTAGTTCAAGCCCTTCTTAAACAGCTTTTTCCAGGGAAGGAATGGGGGGACATTACCAGCTGACCTGTTGATTAGATCTAGAAAGCCCTAAGTGGACACTGTTCTGTCTTCCTTTGTCCTGTCCCAGTGAAATTGGAGACACACACCCCTCTCAGCATTAGCTAGCATACCACATGCCTAGGGTCTGTGCTGTAGGAGATAGAAGGAATCCCTGTTTGAGCAGCAAGCAGCGAGAGGGGATGGGGCAGAGGGAAGCCAGGCAGACACTGCTGTGCCTGCAGTCTTAGCCACAGCTCTGGCTAGGGAACAGAGGGGCAGGGCCAGCTCTGTTCTGTGGAGCAAACAGCATAGCCCAGCCCAGGGCTGCAAAGCATCTGGGATGCTGGGGGACTCTGGGTGAACTTAAACCAGGAAGGGGTCAGGGACAGACATTGCATAAACTGGTTTGACCCAAATCAGTTAAGCCTGATACACATTCAACCAGGTTTATCTTAAACCAGTTTCAGCCATTCTGAAACTGGTTTATGTACATTGAACATATGTGCTATTACAGGTTTAGACCAGTTTCTGATCACTTAAACCGGTTTATGTATAATGTCTGTCCCTAGCCCAAAGAACAAACAGAACCCAGGCTATCGTAGCGTGCCCTAACAAAAATCTCTCTCTCACTGGAATGTCAGCTAAATTGTGCTTTACTAGAAGCTTCGATCCACAAGGTTTTAAGTTATAGTTGCACACTTTCACAACCCTATATGCCCCTTTATTTTATAAATATGTCTAAATTCCCCCTTGTTTATTGTCATGTACCACAGAAAGAACCACAAACTACAACTTTTACTTACTCTCTCTGGTACCTTTCCAAGCCTAGGCTCGGCTGCTTTGCCACTGTATATTTTATGAATGTAGCGGGGGAATGTCTCCCTCAAGCATTTCACTCTTTGCTTCTATGATCTACAGTATACATTAAATTTAATAATTTATCAGTGTTGCTGAAATCTCTGACATCTCTAATGATTCCTGTAAAACTATTTACAGCAAATGTAATCTTTATGGCCATGTTTGTTTTAAAACAATTAACCTTTTTTCTTAATCTAGGGTATAAAAATGTCCAGCAGTGCTCCGTAGCTATGGGAAGTAAAAATTTCCATTGCTTTCCAACCCGTAACACATTATTTGGCACATCTACAGTAAACAAGATCCTAAATAAAGTGGTCAAATATGTTAAAAAACCCTAGAAAGTTATTGATTTC